AGAAACCTTAAAGGGTCTGTTGGGTTCCTTGTTAGGCAATGTAGCAAGGAAATTTTTACCCCATACCCCCACACCTATCTCCATACCCCTACAACTTTTCGAATATTCTAAATTTACCTTTTTCAATTTTTTTAATACTTTTTACTGTGCCGTCAAATGAGTCAAAAGTGCTATTTTGGAAGTATACAACGCTAACCGGATAACATAAGGTAAAGAAATCTGGATTATATTATTTTCAAACCGGAGAACACAATTCGAAGAAATCTGGTTGTTGGATTTAACAAACCAGATAATTTGTATATGAGTTATCTGATTCAAAGAATACAAACCGGATAAAATTGACATACTTTTTCCAGTTTTTGTTTTTCTACGTTCTAGATAACATGTATTGAAGAGTTCCAGTTTTGGTTTTTCATAATCGGATAACTTGTCCCCAAGAGTTCCAGAATGAATTTTTATATAATTTTTGTCACCTTTATGTTAGGAGGCATGGACATTCCTTTGATGATATGCAATAAAAACCAGACATGTGTAAACACGATTGAGATATTCTCGACTATAGAAAAATTTTCCACGCGAGATGAGGAGACTAGGTGAATTAGGGAGGTTGGAATCATGAATAGATTTATTGTTATAATACCAATTAGGAGATAGTGAAACACAAGGTTCTACCAAGATATGTGGTTGTTGTTGTACCCTAAAATTTTCCCTCTTGTTTCTAATCCTAGTTAGCTTTTACTTCTTATTCACGTACATCTCCATTAGGTCATGATATCATAATCATTCATGTGCATGAGTTCTTAAGGCATGGGGTCACAACTTATTTCTTGCAGTACAGGGTTTTCTTTATTTTAGAGAGTGTTTTAGTAGCATTTAGAATTAATCTCATAGTCACCAGAGGCTCAAACATTTATTTTGCTCAACAAATGGTTTGATTACTTCAGAATCAAGAACAGAGAGCACGAAGTTCATATGATTTATTTCAAACAAGTTATCTATCATATTTCGAGCAACATTCAAGTGTCATACCAAAGGTTGAGGTTCAGACACAGAGTCGTGCTCAGAACAGGTTGCAACAGGGCAATTTTCTCATTTTTGACTTGATGTAACCGGTTACCCAAAAGCTTGTAACTGGTTACACCCCTCCAAAAGGCTCCATTTTTGAATTTTTGAAGCATGTAACCGGTTACCATGATTGGTGTAACCGGTTACATCAGGTAGATTTGGCCAAAAACATCAGGGTTTCAGCACTGTAGCAGTTTGTAACTCATTTCAATTGCTTGGTTCACATCAGTGGAAGGATCTAGATGATGCAAAATATCAGCATATTTTCAAGTTAGATTTATTTCCCTCCTTAAATTAAATGATTTCCACTTCTAATTCCAAACTAAAAATCCAATCCTCACTCAAAACTAATTTCCAAGCCTCATTCTTATTCCATACCTATACCATATTTAAACCAACTTTTCCCATTCCAAAAGGATATGGACTCATATTTCTGATTTCTCCACTTCATACTCCAATTCTCTCAAATTCTCTCTCACTTTTTCACTCTCTATTTTCATCCCTAACCTTACTAAAGCTCTTCTATTAGAGTTAACAAGTTCTTCTTTGGAATTTGTTAATTTTAGAGCATTGACCTTCATCAATTCCTTTCATCAACATCAAATCATGTAGTAGAAGTTTGATTTGGATCTAGATCTGAATTTTGGAAGAAATTTCTTGAAGTGATTTTGAAGCAATTCTAGCTTATTGCATTGTTCTTCAACTTTTCTTGTGAAGAATCTCTTGGATCTCTAGTTTTCTTGATTACATCCACCATTTTCTGTTTGCAACAATTACCAAAGCAAATCTCAACTTTGTAGGTTGGTAATTCGTATATCCAAACTCATTTTAGCTTATTTTGTAACTTTCACAATGTAGATCCTTATGGTTTTTGTGTGGATTAGTCTATTGATTCAATTGCTTGATGATATTATTGCTTGATCGATGTTGTTTGATGTAATTTTCGTGTACAATTTCATGCCTTAACATGTTGCATTTTATTAATTAAGTGATGTTGGAAAAGTGATTTTGCAAACTGATTTTATGTTTTTTTTACACGTGTAACCAGTTACTGCATATGGTGTAACCGATTACACCCTATGTTGCGCATCCGTAATTGTTTTTATTCATGGTGTAATCGGTTACACCATATCAGGTAACCAGTTACACCTGTAACAGTTTGTGATTTTGGCTTGTTTATGAGCTTGTCTTGATTCCTTTCCACTTCTAATCTTCATTGTTTGCTATGATGGATGTTTGTGGTCATTTCTTAAGATGTTTAGCATCTGTTTGATATGATTCCTGTTTGTCAATGTTTTAAATGTTTAATTGTTGATGCGCGTTCGTGATGTTCTTGGTTCATGCTCGCGTGCGTTGATAATTGTTGCATTGCAGCTTTATTGTTTGTTTGCTCAACATTGTTCATCACATGTTCATGACACTTGATTACATGTTTGTATGTATTTATTTAAATGTTGATGCATACTCATGTGCATTGTTGATTGTTGAATTCCATGATGCATGTTCATATTGATCGACTAATCTTTTGATACATGTTTACATGCTTTATTTGATCTTGCATAACACATGTTCATGTTAATTCATGCTTGATCCTTGTTGAATGTACTCTTACTGCTAATGTATACAATGTTGTCCTGTATTTGTACACTGTCAAATGTTGCCATTCTGTTGTTGCCGCATACATGCCTGTTCTGAAAATATGTGATGTTACATGTTGTTGTGTTGTTGTGTTGTTGCTGAAGATGCATTGTTGCTCTGATTTAAGCATTGTCGTATGCCACTGTTTTGATTATTTCTTGATTTTTCTTGCTTGTGGTGATCTCACATGCTCCCTTAGGGATTCCTAGTCCAACTTAATTTTTGACTAAGCTTGGAGTAGGATAGACATTAGGGTGTTAATCCAAGCATGACAACACTAGGGTAAGTTTTTCCTTTATCCTCAACCATAGGTCCATCTTGCATGATCACATTAGGATAGAAATTCCCTTTCATCCCGACTTTAGGAGCACTTTGCATGATAACATTTATGATGGAGTTTTCCCCTAGATTTTTCTTTCCTTTTTGCATCTCTTAAAACAAAAACTCTTTTTCTTGCATCAACATCAAAATGCTTAATAAGTACGATGTGCATAGTGCATCACGAGCCTTAAGTACATGGGAAAAGATGAGCGAGAGTCTTTCCTTACCTCTTCTTAGAGTGCTTTGTGCATGAGCCATCTCAGATCATTTGTCCAAAGTATTCATTCCTATTGTCATAGACTTTAGTACGGTGCATGTCACAAACCTTTTCAAAACTTAACAAAACACTCCAACAAATTCAAATTATTTTTCCTTCGGGATTTTCTCCTTAACTTTTTCAGAAAGGACATGTTATTTTTGTTCTACCATAAATATAGGCTAAAGCATAAGTCTCCTCACGTGTGAGCGCTAAAACCTAACGGTTGGAATGCGAATGTTAACATCGTTTATAAAAATGCTAAACAGAGCAAATTGTTTTCAACATGAACTATGAAGTTCTGATTCTCTTTAGGGTACGTAGGCACTGGGTTGTAAAACTCGGACGAACTCAATAATAAAACCTTTTTCTTTTTTCCCAATAATTCATTCATGCATTCCATTAGCAAGTTATCTAGATACACACACCCTTTGATTAGAACAACAAAAGTGGATCCCGTTGAGTACAACGGACACGAGGGATGATAACACCATCCTCTTGCATAATCGACTCCCGAACCCAGAATTTGGTTGCGAGACCATATTCTTTCCCTTTTGAGGTTTTTCTCGATCGTTCCCTTTCCCGTTGGGATAAATAACATTCGATGGCGACTCTGTGTCTTCATCGAGTGTTTTTCGCGGTAGCGACAGTTGTCCATTCAAAATTAGGTCAACATATTCAAAAGATGGTTCTAGTTGGAATATTGACGTAAAATGTGGACTTCACAACCATGATTTACCGGAAAAATTTGAATGTCATGCGTTTGTAAGTCGACTTAATGCTAATGAACAACAATATATTATTGATTTGATAAAACGTCATGTTCCACCAAATCACATATTATTGTCATTACAAGAACGGGATCCAGAGAATGTGACTCGAATTACCCAAATATATAAACATAAAACTAAGATTCAGAAAGACATCAGGGGTCCTAGAATGGAAATGCAACAATTGATTAAGCTGATAGAAGAATCTGATTATGTTTATTGGAGTAGGAAAAAAGATGAGCCGAAAGTTGTGAGAGATATCTTTTGGGCCCATCTAGGATCAGTGAAGTTGTTGAATATGTCTCGTAATATGTTAATTATAGACAGTACTTACAAAACAAATAAGTACAAGCAATCTTTGTTTGAAGTAGTTGGTATGGCATCAATGAAGTTAACATTCCCTGTTGAATTTTCCTATATGGAATATGAGCAAACAGAGAATTTGTGTTGGGTACTGGATAAGTTGAAACCGTTGTTCACTAAGCAAGGGTTATGGCCACAAGTGATTTTAATGGATAAAGATTTTGCTTCGATGAAAGCAATTGAAACAGTATTTCCAATGACAGTTAGTATGCTTTGTCGATTTCACATCAACAATAATGTGAAAGCGAAGTGCAAGGAGTATATTGTGAATGATATGTGAGAGCCGATAGAGAATATGGTATGAACTTGTAAGGGCTAATGATGAGGTGGAGTACCATCAAAAGTTGCAACAGCTTGAGCATGCATGTGTCCATTTTAGACCATTTTTTGATTATGTGATAGACACATGGTTGACACCTCACATGCATAGACTTGTTGAAGCTTGGATCAATAAAGTGTTGCATTGGGTAACATCATGACTAATAGGTAAGGTGTTTGATTTTAGCCATAATTTTTTTAATCTTAATATTAATGATACTGAACTTTTTTTTGTTAGGGTTGATTCTACGCATTGAAAACTGAAGTAGATGTTGAAGAATAGTTTAGGTGATATGTGCAAATGTTGGGAGGCTACGAATGGGAACATCAAGGTGAAATCGGGCAATATTAGAGCTTCATTTCAGAAGAGTTTTTATGAAGTTGAGCATGCGCACACTAGTCCATTTTATAGTAATTTGCGTGGATCAGTATCTAGAGATGCTTTGAAACATATTGCTGAAGAGTGGCACAGGGTTGACATGGTGGATACAAACACCCAAATGTGATGGTGTAGTCATAGAAAAGTATACGGCTTACCTTGTGCTTGTGAGTTAGGGAGATACATATTTAGTGGTGAACCAATACCAATTGATGATATTCATATACACTGGAGGAAACTTAGCATGGAAGATGAACAAGAGGTAGATACAAAGGATGAAGCAGAGGTGGACATGAACAATGCAATTGATGCACTATGGAAAAGGTTCAGGTCATTAGATATTGCCGGAAAGAGAGCAATAAAAAGCAGGGTGTGTGAAATTGCTTACCTCACTACAACAAAGGTGATACCACCGCCTGAAAAAATAAAGATCAAAGGAGGAGTGAAGAGAAAAGGGAAGAAACATGTGAAATATGATGTTTATCATGATCCTTTATATCATGATTATGTTGATCAAGCACACAGTATTTCTCAAAAATCTTCAAAGAGACCACGTTCACAGTTATCCCAAACGTCAAAGAAGAAACCATCTAATAGGTATATTGTACAATTTCCAGAGCATATCATACCATTTATTGATGACATTGTTGACGTTAAGAGTGACAGAAACTGTGGGTATAGAGTGATTGCATCATTGCATGGATATGGTGAGGATGGTGGGTCAACAGTTCGTCGTGATTTGGATAATGAAATTAGAGGTTCCAGAATTAGTCTATATTAGAATTTATTTGGAAGTCGCTTATCAAAAGTGAGAGACTCCTTGATGATATTGCCTTTAGGTACTCAGCCATTAGATAAAAGGATGACATTACCAAATATGGGTTATGTGACAGTAAATTAGTATAATGTCATTCTAGTCTCTTTGGGTTATCCTAGTTTTACTTTCTTTCCTATGACGACTTCACATTCACCTAATGTATCCATTTACTGCATTGGTTTTGTAAACCAAAATCATAGGGTCCAGGTAAACATTCATGTTTGTTATTTTAATTATTTATTTTTCGTTTATGTATTACTTACTAATTTTTATTAATAGGTAAACATGAACGAAAGATTTCCCTTGCCACCAGTCACATTGAACTGGAAGAAGTATCCCACATCAGATGCAACTTCTTGGATGACATGATTTGCTGGACGGTTACAACATTGGCAGCAACTTACGCCTGTGGTGTCAAAATATGTTAGATTATATAGTTGGAATGTGATTTTTATATTTTGGTTTGTTTTGACATTTGATTTGTGTTATATTTAATTCATGGTACGTTTGGGATTATACTACATAAAGAATATCGTATAAGTTTGAATAATATTACGTAACTCTGAAGAATACGACATACGTCTGAGAAATACTACATAAGTCTGAATAGTAAATAATACATCAATCATCATCACTAACATAAGGTATCGGTCCACCTTGTGCTATACGTGGTGCTCGAAAGACCTCAGCAAAATCACCATCCTCCTCTTCCACCTCGTGACGCCATAGATAGCGACGAAACTCATGTGGAATATGTAACAACCTAGGATTTGATGGTCCTGCATCATAGACAGGAACCAGGGCCTATCTGACCTCACCAACCGTGGCCTGTCTGACCCCCCCCCCCCTCTGAGGTGGTGGTACAAGACGAGGATGTGACACTCTGTAGTACCAATCCAAGTAATCATGCACCATATCATATGGAGTAACTGCAAACTCGGCCAGACAAATCACTTCTATCTCGCTTGCATGATATGTAACCCACTTAATATCCATATCAAGTGTGTTAACATCAGGAGGCGGAGGTGGTATGTACTGCTTGTATTCAAATTGACACAAATCTGTCAGATAAATATAGAATAACTATACCATACCATTTCAGACCACCCCTGTACAAGCATATATCATCAAATGGTTGGTGTTGTCTGTGATCCTCAAAAGATCGCAAAATGACATCAGCAGATGTCAATCCATCCAATATAGGCTTGAGCTCATCAACCTTCTGCGCGTCTTACTTGTACATCCACTTCATCGCTCTAGGATGTGGACCACCGATACCAACAATCATAGAAAATTCTATCTTGCCAATAGTAGGAAAACACTCATGAATCCAATATTGTTACACAAAATGAAAATTATCAATTAAAAGTATTATAAATAAGCTAATATACATCTAAATGAAATTAAAATAAATCATTTGTACCTGTAGACAAGAGACATATCCCTCAAGCTGCCTACAAATGCAAAAGGAAGCATCTCTTAGATATCTATAAAGTGTGACAAGTGTAGCTGCCCCCCAATGGTATCTACCACGTCTAGACATGTCCTGAAATAGTGGTAAATACTTTGCCTCTACAAGTGTAAAGGTCTTATCAACAAAAAATGGTGCAGCCAACTAACAGCAACATGTAGGCTTTATCTGCACAATCAAATCTGTTCGCAGCTCGCTGACGAATAAGTAGCTGCTTCAACCAATCCAAGCTATAATAAAAACCTCTGCAACCACGAACCTCTTCAGTTGCATCCTCCAACGAAATATCCAGAAGATCAATAGCCTGAGTAATGACATCTGAATCAGTGAACCCTTCTGTAGGGTTACACAACTCCCCCTACACGGTAGATGAAGTAGACACGAAACATCGTCCAAAGTAATAGTCATCTCACCAAATTGCATATGAAATGACGATGTTTCTGGATGTCATCTCTCAACAAATGCAGATACTAAGTTCTAACATATTCTCGATAAACGAGTTTTATGTAGAAAGGATAGACTAGAATCAGATAACCATTGCTCAATCACTGGTGGGAGAATATGTGGAACTAATCCAATCAACTTGCTGCCATGTGCAAAATAACCTTCAACTCTTTCTTCATAACTCTCTCCTAAAAATAAATCATAATATATGTTATAATATATAAATAATTAACATTAAATTTGATTCAACCTAAAATGTCATAGACAAACTTACTTCCCCGTCCCACAAATACTGAGCAATGTGGTTTTGATACCTCATTAAAAGAGACGTATCAGACGGTCCTCTGGGAAATGGTGGATGCAGCAGAATAGGCGCAGGTGCAGCTATCTGATCTTCCTTACGATTCGACGGTTGTTGAGTCGTTTGTCCTTCATCGTATCGTCGATAAATGCGTCCATCTCGTCCTCGAATGCGAGCCACTAAAAAAATCAGAATCCATCACACCGGAAAACTACGAGACAAGTTTTGCGGTTAAGAAAATAACAGAACCGGATAACATGAGGTTAAGTTATCCGGAGAGTAACCTTAAAAAAATCAGAAAACTTACTATCTAGTTCTCTAGAGTTTAAAATGTGAATCAGATAACTTATTGTTGAGTTCTCCAAAAGTCAAAAATTTTACACTGGTTTTTTCACGCTCTACTTGAAAGAAAATAAGGAAAAAGTGGAAATTTTGAATTGTTGGATATTTATACGGGAATATTTTTTATTTCAATTTTTTAAATTGTAGGAATATCAGGTTAAACGTAAGAGTATGGAATAAAATTTTTTGTAGTAAGACCGGTTCTAATGGATCATCCAATATGGATTAAATTGTAATCTAAGTCGTATGCAATAAAGTTGTTTGTGATTGAATATATATATATATATATATATATATATATATATATATATATATATATATATATATATATATATATATATATATATATATATATATATATATATATATATATATATATATATATATATATATATATATATATATATATATATATAACCTATTAGTATTAGTAAACAAATCTTTATTATTATAAATCATTAAAAAAGAAGTTAACGTTAAACATTAAGGTTTGACAAAAAAAAAAAAAAAAGCAAAGGTTTTGTTTCTCTCTCTCTCTTTCTTCACTCAAAATTAGACCGTTACTAAAAACCAAAACTTTTTCACTTTATCAACTTCAACCATGATGAAAAGTCAAAGAATCCCAAGAATAACTTACCAAAAAAGCACTTATTCAATCAAACATAGTGATTTTAAGTTCAACATTTCATCATCAGATTCAAAACCAACTACTATCATGTCGAATAGAAATACTATTCTTGAACCTCTTCTTCATGTCCTTGATCCCATTTCATTGATCGTTAACCATAATTCAAATTCAGACCAACCTCTTAGATTCACCTCTTTAGAAGATAGCTTCGTTATGGAGAGAGGACCGAATTATAATGCATATGCTGAATTCAGGGAAAAGAGGTTGCGGTTAAGATGTTTGATGGAAGTTCAAGAAGAGAATTCGGAGATTGAAGTTGAACCGGTGAAACTCGCCACTACAATAACGAAACAGGTTAGGTTTCAAGAAGAGAAGTTTGAGATTGAATCAGAGAAACTTGTAGCCCCAACAAGGAAAAATGTGAACTTTCAAGGTGGATTAGCATATGGGAGAAGAGGGTCTTTGGAACAAGAACCAAAACTTGTACCCCCAACCAGGAAAGAGGTTAAATTTCAAGGTGGTTTGGCTAGTGGGAGAAAAGGGTCTTATGCTGTTGCTCAATCCGTGCCTGATTTCTCTGCGGTATTGAGGAAAGAAAATAGGAAGCCGTCGAACTTTCTGCCTTCGGTGATGGAAACGAAGACACCACCGCCTTCGAAGAGTAGTTTCTATAAGGATAATAACATGGTAGGGTCAAGTTCAAGAGGAAGTAAGTCAGAGAGTGCAAAGGAGAAAAAGAAAACGGTTGGCGGCGGCGGTGTTTTGATGGGAAGGAAGAGTTATGCTAGCTTGGATGAGCTTAAGAGTTTGTCTTCTGCTACTGCCATTGCCATCAATGGTGAAGGTAGAGGAGGAAGGAATAGTAGAGTTTTGAGGAAGACAGTTTCAGTTCACAGACAGTTTTGAATGTGAGGTTCCTTAAAGTTTGGATTTTTTTCTTAATTGTTTGTTGAATATGAAATGCTGTGGTGCTTGTTGTTCTATTTCTCTTTTATTTTTCAATATTCATTCTATTTGATTTTCTGAATTACTTTAGAGTGTTTCATTATTATACTATGTAAAGCTTTGATTTGATGTAAGTAAGAGTGTTGATTGCTATAACACAAATATTATACAAAAATTACATGGTTTTATCGTTGTTCTTAAGTAGGAATGATTTTGTTAATTCTGTTCTGAAATAAAGTTACTGTCAAGATTTAAATAAAACGAGTGTTGTGGTAATACAATGAAGCACTTATACGTTAAAATCTATACCGAATCGTGTCTGATACGCCGATATATATTGTATCCTATATTATTCAATTAGCAGCGTATCGCCATATCAGATACGAATCGCGTCCGTGCATCACTTTGGTATTATCCAAAAGTTAGAATCTTGATATTGGTCGGAATTTCGGGCAAAATACATAAAATAATAACAAAACTAAGGACCATTATCCAAAAGATCCCAAAAGGACTCTATTAGAAACACCATAATGAATCTATTTGTACAGCAATGTATAACATGATTCTTACGTCAGAACAAAAAAAATATCGTACAAATTAGTTATAAGAACATGATTTTAGTAAGTTCAAAAAGTGCCCTGCCTAAAACCAACCTACAACGTCTTCAACAATTTCATCAACCAAAATTTGAAGCACATAATCCTCAATATCAACACCAAACTCGGAAGCTTCGACATTGAAATCAGTCCATTTTCCCAATGAGTAACTCATCTCCCAATCAATTATTTTGTCCGGTTCCATTCCAGCTATACGCTCCCACTTCTTAATCTCACTCTTAACCTCTTCAACCAAAATCTCACCTTTCATGCATTGAGGAGCCTTAGTCCATGCACACAATGACTTAAATACATTGTAATAATTATGGCAGCAATTTGATTCTAGATATTCAATTACACAGTCAAATAGAAGTCCCTTAAGTTGGCGTCGGTTGAAATTTCTCCGCATAGCATCGCTTGCCATGTTGTCGAGTTCATCAACAAGAATGCAAGAAATGAGAAGCTGTGGCAGGTCCTCACTTTGCCTAGTGACATTTCCAAGAACCAATTCAGCCATGAAGATAACTTCCTTCATATGATTGAGCTTGTTTTTTGTCAATCTTGGCCAAAAAGAATTTAAACTTTGCAATATTGAATAAATTCGGTTAACGAGTTCTGTCAGTATCTTACAACCTATCTTCCCTGTGTTAAATAATGTTGCGGAATCTAAAAGTTTAACGTCATGTTCAAACCGTTCTGGTTGATCGTATGAACAATTTATAGAGCCGGTGTGAAAACCATACCCTGGAGTTAAGTCAAAAGATCGAAGGCATTAACAATAGGATTAAATTAAACAAATCAAAATCAGAAATCGTGTTTTTTTAATTGCGTTTACCTGAGCCTGCATTCAGAACAGATATCAATTCTTGAAGAATCAACGCGGTTGATCTTCTAGGTTGATCACCATTAGCCGACTCCTCGTTTTCTCCAAATTTCAATTCTTTCAACTTCTGTTCAAGAAAAGCGCCTAAAACATCTTCTCTCAAGGGTGAATGATGTCTTTGGAAACAAGTCTTAATCTCATCAGCACTTGTCTCTACCTTATTGATCTTATTGTCGTTAGTTTTATCGGTTTTTTGATAACCACTTTTTCTACATTTGACATTAGAATTGTTTGGAGAGAAAGCTTCGAAGTTTCTCCTTTTTCCTCGTGCATTTGAACCAACATTTCTATGTTTCGATGTAACCAAATCGACAGAAGCTATACCTTTAACTTGTGAGACATTTGAGGTCCTTTTTTTCCTCTCAAGATCAAATTTGCAACTATCCAACTTCGTAGGAGACCTCATCCGAGTTCGACCACTTAGGCTTCGATTCAAACCAAAGATGTCTTTATTCCCACTCACAGTGCTTGCAGTTGCAGCTGATGAAGCTTTCTTCACCTGCATTTTACAATTTTTAGCTTCAAATCTAAAAGCCATTCTTTCACCGCTTAACATCCGTTCTCGTGTTTGAGTTTTGCATTCGAAGTTAAAAGAAGATGTGTAGTCGTTATCCTCTAAGCCTCCAGGCGGTTGACGTGATGAATCACATTTTGCATGAACGTGGATTCTTCTCGAAGTAGTTTCATTACAAGAATTAGCATTCTTTTTAACATCTTCATCAACAAGAGTTATGATCTTCTCTTGACTTCTGAGAAGAACTACATCGCTTTCGTGAGAAGGATTGAATGATCTTCCTTTTTGCGCTGATTCAGAAGAGAAGCCGGTGAAAACATCTGAAACAATAGGTGAGCTGATCTCAATGTCAAGCAAATCCCCGCAGTTTTTGCAAGTACGCTCCACCGATGACTTGTCTATGCCGCCATTATAACACGATTGGTTGTGCATATCTTTCGGACGAGTTCCAACCATATCGGTGACAATGTCGTTCCTATTAGGACACTTAGAATTGGAAGATGTGAGAGAATATTTGGATCTGCTTGTAGACTGCAAGCCAGGTTCCAAGATCTTAGTAGCTACTTCTATCAATCTTGAGCTTCGAGATGCACTCTTTCCCAAAGAAACTCTCGGACTCTTCAAAGGCGAAACAAATTTAGCACGATGGTTATCATGATGATGATTAGACTTTCTCACTTGTGACAAAACATTCTTGATTTGCAATGCCTCGGCACCAAACCTAGTCATTGCTCGTCTTTCGTTCACTTCCGTTTTCCTTACCTTCTGAGGTCTTGAATCATGACTTGCATTCGCAACTTCGATTTCCAAAGACTCTCCACCATCATCACTATCAAAAAATGAAGATTTTTTGGACTTATGATCTCTCTTTGAAGCTGGAATTGATTCTAGACCCATCAACCTAGCTACAATACTCGGAGCTTTCATTTCATGCTTTCGTTCTACGTCGATAACACAATTTCCTCCTTCCATGGCATTCAAGAAACCTCCATTGTTCCCATTAGCAATCTACAATCAAAACAAATATAACCTAATCACAAATTCACAATAACCAACCACCTAAAACAACGATTTGTATTCGCTGCAATCACAAATTCACCCGGTAGCACATCAGTTGTCATTCAATCAAAACAACTGAATTAACTTGCTTTCTGAACCGTCCGATCTTGATCCAACAACACATAGAAAACTAAATTCAAACCAACACAACCATTTTCTTACCGAATGAAGCTTGGAATTCGGCATTTTCTCGTCTTTAAACTTGTTCATAGAATCTTGTTTTGCACTAGCTGACACAGTTCACAACAAAAAACCAAACATTCTCATCAGTTCCAACAAACCACAAGAAGAATCTTAACAAAACTTCACATAAAAAACTTTCATTTGACAATGTCACCTAAAAATGTATCTGATATAGAAATATATACATACATAGATACATCCAAATATATAAAATGAAGTAAAAAGTTAAAAGTGAAAAACTTGTTAGATGAAACTAACCAGAAGGAAGAAGTTTCTTGGAGAAAAATCTCTTTTTGGTGAATCTTCTATTCCAATCAAATAATTGAAAGAAAATGCCAACACAACCACCACTTTGTTTTTCATTGTTGTTCTTCTTCTCTGATAATGCTAAACATGAAGAACCATTCACACTAACATCATCACTCATTTCCTCAACACTTTACAACCTAACACAAAACACAAGCAAAATCAACTTCACAGTTTCACTATAAACAAAACCATAAAAAAATTCATTTTTTCTTCAAAACTTGTCTTCCAAAAAGTGTTCTAACTCAAATCCAAAACCCATCATTGTTTTTTGAGTAATGTTCTTCACTAACAAAAAGAACACATTTTCACAATTTTAGTTAGAATCCAAAAGATGTGATTGTTTTCCCTCCAAACTGAAGCAACCAAGAAGAAAGAACTTTCTACATGGAATAATGCCAATCATAAAACGACACATTGAATGAAGAGTCCAGCAAAACCACCTTGATGGACCAAAGAAGAAAACGACAATTGAGGAGAAAAACGACACAAAATAGGAGAGGAGCAGTAGAAGAGCAGAAGAGCTGAAAAAGATGATAAAGCAAATTTGAATATACTATGCTATTGTTGCTATGAGAAAAACAAAAAACTAAGAAAACAAATAAAACAAATAAAAACTCATTATTTTATGATAAATGCAATTTTTATAATTACTTTTCTCAGTTGTAGTATAATTTAATTTACACAACTTACATTATTTTTTATCTTTTTATTTTATTTGTTTTTTATTCATAATGATATTTTTGTGTAGAAATTTGAATTTTTTTAACAAAATAACCCACATTTTAAAATTAATTCTCAAAATGACCCATGTTTTAGAAAAATTTCAAAAATAGCCCACTTTCAAAAAAAAAACTGGGACAAAGTGTTGTTGTCAGGCAAATTGGCGACATCACTATATTTTTAAAAGGAGGCGTCAATTGGATTGGTGTCAGTGTACAAGTGTATAAGGGAGATACCAATTTATATTTTTTTTAATAAAAATAGAAAACATTAATATTTAATTAAAAATACTTTTAAAGACACTAATGATGACGACCAGGTTACTCATACCGGCCACCGATTTTAAAATATTCGTTGATTCACTTCAGGTGTTTGAGGATTTTAGGTCTTAGGAACTGTCATACCCTAAATTTGTCCTACCCATTTTCAATTGTTTTCACTTTGCGATTTTATTTTCTATTTTTACGTTGTCTGCTCATTTCTTATTATTTAGACACGTGTCTGCTCGTAATTGGTCGATTTTTTTTAAAAAAAAATTTTATGACCAATTAAGGCGTGACACGTGGCCTAACAACTTTTGTGTGAATATTATTTTTCTTAAACTTTTTCTCTTTTAAATGTTATTAATAATATTTATTTTTTAGTTATTATTTTCTCGTTTATATATATATATATATATATATATATATATATATATATATATATATATATATATATATATATATATATATATATATATATATATATATATATATATATATATATATATATATATATATATATATATATATATATATATATATATATATTAGTTGGTTTTTTTTAATTGTTAATTGTTAATATTTATTTAATAATTATTGTTAATATTTGTATTAAACAGTTGTTAGTATACTAATTTATTTTTTTTAGTTATTATTTAATATTTGTTAATATTTATTATTAATTAAGCATTGGTATTTAATTAAGAACATAAGAAGTTGATTAAGAAAAATTAATGGTCAGTAAATTAGATTGTGGGTCGTGGGTGAAGGCGCATTGTGGAGCCCTTCAGAAGCTGGAACCGGCTGGAGTTATAAAAAGAAAAGGGAAAACTGATTCAAGGGGACCCTAAGTATACTTAATTGTAAGCTACTGTTCATGATCACAAAACGGAGCCGCCACCCCTAAAACCGTCCGTCTTCCCTCATCACCATCATCATCCCCGAAAACCACTCCCAACCCTAGAAGAACCCTAAATCGTTCATCTTCCTCAAACCAAAGCGGCGCTGGAAAACTTCATTCTTCACCCTCTCAAAATTTCACCGCCGCAAACCTTCGACGCCGCGATTACGAAGAACGCCACCGCGAGTCCAGCTCCCTTCGCCTCAACAACGACGCGGTACCCTCAGCCCTTGCGCGGATTCGACTTAGCGACGACAAGCCTTGAACGAACAACCCAATGTTTACATAATTTTATCTCGTTTTCCACAGGTTATGGTGTTGCGGTTTTGACGCCGTCTCGTCTCCAAGATTGAACAGACGACTTCGCCGCTACTTTCGGTTCAGACCATTCTCAGCCGTAGCTCCAACCATTCGATAAGGCTTCAGCTTGGCGGTAATTTCAGAGTCGATTGTCTTCTTTGTATCTATTGTCGTAATCATTGTTTGCAAGAAACATTTGAACTGTTTTACTTTGAACTAGTATATTTGTTTTTCAATAAAGCTATTGGTTTGAAGGTCCTAATGTCACGTTTTGGTTTGCATATTTGTGATAGTTTTAGTGAATCTGGGTACTGTCATCAGCTATTGTTGTTGTTCTTCGATTAGATTTTTGAGCTGTTATTATTATTTGTTCGATCTTGCAAGATGTGGGATGTTGTTGTTCGTATGTGTGCGAAAGTTGGTTTTGGATTACAACACTGCCTTATTAAGTTTAACAGTTTGATTTAATATTATTCTTGTTGTTCTATTCGAGATTTATCGGTAACATAGTTCAGTTTCTTCTTTGGGAAAATGTTCTATTATTTGTGAGCGAATATGAATTGATATATGCTGGATTGTATGGCATAAGTCCGGTAATACCCTTATCATCGTTTGCTGCCGTAATCTTTTATTTTGCTGTCGAAATTTTACGTTGGATATTGGTCGTTCTAAGCATGTTTTTCGATCCTTAAGTAGTAAGGTTAAATATGCATAAACTTTCCTTGGAATACAATATTAATACTAGTTTTTTTTCATTACTGTAATATATATCTCGTTGTTTAGTAATTAATATACCACATGAGTAATCTTAATTTACTATATAGATTGTGTCATTAGATAATTTAAATTATTTTTCTAACTAAAAAAGTTCATTTTTTTTATATATAGAAAAAAGTATTATAAATTAGTTTATTTATTTACAGTTTTTTCTAAAAAAAATCAATATTTTTTCAAGAGAAATACTAAACATTTAAAAAAAAAACAATTTTTCAAATAAAAGTTTAGAGCTTTTTAAATCTTCTTTTTCAAATTTGAGTTAGTAAGTCATTTTTCAAAATTAATAATTTTTTTTCTTGTTTTCATCCAACTTATTTTTACTACTAAATTATTTTTTAAATCAAAATTGTAAAAAAAAAACTAAATCCTTGAAGTCTAGCACTTCTTGGATTTTTGGACGATCATTATTGAGGTGTACACCTTAAATAATGTATTGTTCGACTTTTCGTTTTTTAATATACTCTTTTTTTGGACAAAAAAATATATCATAGGAATCTAGCATTCTGTGTGATATTTCCGTTGTTCATCCAAATATTTTTCGAATGAAAAAGGTGTTGTTAGGATCTAGCATCCAAATGATACCCCGATTAATTAGTTGTGAGACCGACGTCTCATTTATTAAATAATCGTCATTTCTCCTATACTTCTCAAATTCAATCTCGTATTCTCACTTCTCACACCACAAACCCTTTTCATACCCTCGATTCGATTCCAAATCATTTTCTCAATATTTTTTCTCAAATCAAACTTCGAAAGAAGGAGGTTCTTGGAATCTAGCATTCCTTGAATTTTCGAGTGAGTAGTTCTCGAGGCACGCTCTTGAGTTATTATTCACTCAACCTTTCGAATTTTTCAAAATACCTTTTTTCGATTCAAACCTCGAAAGAAGGAGGTTCTTGGAATCTAGCATTCCTTGAATTTTCGAGTGAATAATTCTCGAGGCACGCCCTTTGAGTTGTTATTCACTCAACCTTTCAACTTTTTTTCAAACTCAATCATTTTCCAACATTCTCCTAAGTCGAATGCTCGTACGCATTCGCAACCTACATTTCGTACACGCATTCACAACTCCTCGTGGTTTTGATATTGGAAGCACCCTTAGGGACCAATATCATTTCTCACAATCTAACCCTTGACACGTCGTCAAGTCGGTTCCATCTTCGGTCAAATCCTCGACACGTCGTCGAGCTACTTCAAAACAACTTCCTTTTTGCCTCGCATTCCATTTCCGATTCAATCTTTTCACAAACATTTTTAAAAAAAACTTACGAAAGAGAGATATTCTTAGAATCTAGCATTCTTTGAATATTCGAATGAGTAACTCTCGAGGCGCGCTCTTGAGTTGTTATTAGTTCATTCTTTCGATTTCAAAACATTCAATCCTTTATCTCCAACTCTTTTCAACCCAATTTCCGAAAGAATTGAGTTCTGGGGATCTTGCATTCCTTGAATTCTTTGAGTGACAAGCTCTTGAGGCATGCCCTTGGGTTGCTTGTCGGTCACTCTTTCGTTTCTCAATCCATTTCAAAACTTCATCTTTTCGTGGTTGTTACCACGAACTACGGACGCTCTGATTCTTTATTCATTCTTGAATATAAGATACGTAGGCACAAGATTGCGATGATCTTGGCGAGCACACTTCTATCTTCCTCCATTATTTCGTCCATCCCCCATCCTTTCCCGTAGTCGAACTACGAAGCTCTGATTTCTCATTCTCGTCTGAATGAGCATACGTAGGCACAAGGGCCTCAATCCTTGGCGAGCACCCTATTCTCTAACTACCCATCTCCCCTAGCGTCTTTAACCTTTTACCCTACCAATTCTACCTTTATCATCGAGAAGAAAAACAAGTAAACCTAGACAACACTCCCCATAATTACCTTAAGAGGTTCCCGTCGAGTACGACAAACGTGAGGGGTGCTAATACCTTCCCCTCACGTGACCGACTCCCGAACCCGGAACATGGTTGCGACAACCCTGTTCCTATCCTTTCATTTTAAGAGGTTTTCTCGATATTTTCCTCTCCCGTTTATTCGGGAAAAATAAAGTTCGGTGGCGACTCTGTCGAACCGCATTTCTGCGCCTTTCGTGCGAGGGTCGTTTCTCCGAAATGTCTCCGTGATTTTTCGAGGTGCGACAGGAACATCAACAGAATTCCGA